TGTTCTTTCAGAAGGCCCAACACCTAATAAAACAGCTTTTCCTCTTCTCAATATTGTCAGTTCCGATTATTTTTGTAGCTCTTGAGATTCCAAATCCCCACCCCCACCCCAATACATTTAAGATACAGAAAAAGGGGGTTGCTGAGTTAGCTCATCAAGTAAAAGTGTTTATTAGCAAGCGTAACAATCTGGGTTGGAGGCCTGGAGCTCGCATGGTGGAGAGAACCATCTTCTTCAAACTGTCTGACTTACATTTCTTTTTCAAATATACACACACACATACACACACACACACACACACACACACACACACACGTTAAAAAGTTAGGAAAAGCTGAGTGTGGGGGCACATGCTTTTAATCCCAGCATTTAGGAGGCAGAAGCAAACAGACCGCTATGAGTTCAAGCTCCAGGCCAGCAAAAGCTATACCGTGAAATCCAGTCTCAGCTCTGTCCCCCCCAACAACAACAACAAAAAAGAACGAAAAAATTAAAAAAAAGATTTCTGTTATGCATAGGTGAATTCTTTCCTAGCATACTGTTTAGTTAAGGATGAATGCCTGATCCTTCTGCCTCCACTTCCCAAGTGCATGGCCCTCTACTATCCCTGACTCTTCTGAAAGATACATGTATACGTAAACATACAGATATTAATAGACGTATTATATAGTTTTCACATAAGTATATTTTAATTTTTATATTTATGTATATGTATGTATAAAATCTTTAATTTTTAAACAGGTTCTTTCTATGTAGCTATGGCTATTCTGGAACTTGCTGTGTTTATCATCAGGCTGGCCTTTGAACTCAGAGATCCACCTGCCTCTGCCTCCCAAGTGCTGGGATTAAATGCATGCACCACCACACCTGGCTTGTTTTGTGGAGACACAAACGGTCTTTCTTCATAGCTCGGACTGGCCTGGTATTCATTATACATCCCAGGTGGGTCTGGAACCCACAGCCATTCTACTGCCTCAGACTTGTAAGTGTTGGGATTACAGATTTGTGTTGACTAGGTTTTCTAGAAAAGAGAAGCTTGGAGGTAGTCATCATTTCAGAAGTGTGGAAGAGTCTGCGTGCGGAGGTATTTTTTTGTTTTTGTTTTTTTTTCCTTTCAAGCCGGTTTCTCTGTAGCTTTGGAGCCAGTCCGGTAACTAGCTCCGGTAGACCAGGCTGGCCTTGAACTCACAGATATCCGCCCGCCTCTGCCTCCCAGGTGAAGGGATTAAAGGCGTGCGCCACCACTGCCCGGCTTTTTTTTTTTTTTTTAATCTTTAAGATTTTTAGATTAAACAGAAAAACGACAACACAGAGCAGAGCAGGGACCCCACTGAGATTGTCTGTAGCTGGATCTCACTCTACTTAAACTCAACACTTCTCAATATTTCTGCTGCAAGTGCCCGCGACCAGACCGCAAAAAATTAAAGTCATTTTAGGAGCTCAAGAGCCAGGTGTGGTGGCGCACGCCTTTGATCCCAGCACGGGGAGGCAGAGCCTGGCGGGTCTCGGTGAGTTTTAGGGTGGCAGCAACAGAATTTAAATCTCTATGGAAGGAATGTGGGTGGTAAAAGTGTAAATGAGGGAAGGATTTCATCCCAAGGGTGGGTTTCAAATCATCCTAAACCGGGCTGAGCACTCAAGTGTATTTTTTGCTTTTGTGACTAGGTCAGTTTGAGTTGGAACTGTGGATCTCGTCTACTTCAGCCTCCTGAATGCTGGGATAGAGGGGTGTACCACCATGCTGAACTGACCATAATTCTTGAAAAGGAATCTTTCTAAAAATAAGGGTTCTTCACGAGGAAAAAAAAGTTTTGGTGGATTGTTGATAAGTGTCGAAGTTGGAACCCTGCGTGCATCGTGTATGCTAGGCTAGTACTCTGCTTACCGAACCCGGCCCGGGCCGACTTAGCATTTTTTGTTGTTTTAAGTGTTTTCTTCTTTTTGAGACAGTTTCATTCTATAGCCCAGGTTGGCCTGGAACTCCCCATGTTGACCAGGGGGCCTTGAACTCCTCTGCCCTTCTCAGCGTACTCCATCTTGGGAGTAGGGAGTAAAGGCGTGAGCCAAGGTCCTGCAAGGTCCTGCTTCCTGTACCTTCTGGGCATTTAGTTGAGACAACTCTGCCGGGTGTGGTGCGTGTTTAGAGGCACGCGGAAGGCTTTTCATGAGAAAAACCGTTCCGTAGTGTAGTTTCCCCTACACCTGTGGAAAGCCTAGCGAAGCTCACCCACCACACCTGGGGTCAAACCGAAGGAAGATTCTAGGCAGCGGCCTGAATCTGAGGAATCCCAAGGCCGAAGGGCGGTATTCTGAAATCTGCACATCAATACCGCCCTTCTCCAGGCCTTTGTTATGCACGACATTGGCCTCCCCCACACTTCTTCTTTGCAGGGAAATGTGCTAGAGGAAAAAAATTGAGCTGTTATCAATCTGCTAAACTCACTGCCCAACGCTTCAAAGTAGGCACCCTTGAGGGGTGCCCGTGACTTACCCCTAGGGCTCGGGCGTGTGGCTTAGAAATAGCTAGTGTTGCTAGGCGCCAGGCTCAGCATTGGACCCCCAGAAAACAAAAAACCCAACAACAACAACAAGCCTAACAGCCTGCCATCGACTTTTCAATCAAATTGGCTCGCTCATTCTAGAAAGCACCATCCTTGGGAGTTTGCAAACTTGGTCGGCGGAGGAGCCCAGGATTGGATCAGGTGGAGTCGAGCGCCCCCACCCCCTCCACCCCCGATTTCCAGCCCCCGCCCCCGGGACTACCCCCCCACCTGAAGGTGACCCAGGGGGCGGGGGCGGGCGGCAGGCCATCGAGCAGCCCGGCGCGCCGCCGCCGCCCGTTGGATTGGCTCGAGCCTCTCCCGCCAGGCCTGCCCGGCTCCCGCGCGCCGCTGTGGGCCCGCCCCCCGCCGCCATCTTGGTCGTGGTGGAGCGGGCGGCACGCGTGAGTAAATAGCGCGAGCCGGGAGCGGACGGCGGCCCTGGGCGGAGAGCGGCGGAGCGGACTTCCCGCGTGGGGTGAGGCGCGGGAGGGAGGCTCGGCCGGCGCTGCCTCTGCCCCCTCGCGGCCGCGCCGTCCTGAGAGAAGCGGCGGCGGGAACCGGGTAGGCGGGCGGGAGGGCGGCCTTGCGAGCGCGCGGCCCGGCGTGCAGGTGAGGGCGCCGCGCGAGCCGTGCCACCGGTCACCGGTGTCTTCCGGCCTCGCTTCAGGGTGGCCGAGATGACGGCCGCGGGTCGCAGCCCTCTGGAGCCGCTCCTGGAGACTTGGGAGGACCCCTCGGCGTCTCCCGGCGAGCAGACGGACGCCTACCTAACTCTGACCAGGTGAGGCCGCCCGGGGAGACCGAGCCGGGGCGGGGGACGCGGGGAGCCGTGGGGGACGCGAGCGGGCAGCGCGGGGCGCCCCGGGCCATTCCTGCCAGGTGACGATGCGGGGCGCAGCGGCGGCGCCTGAGGGCTTCTTGGGGAGTCGCTTTTTTTTGTTTGTTTGTTTGGCTGGCAAGCGGGAGCTTTGAGGAAAAGTTTGAGCTGGGAAGGAGTTTGAAGAGAGCCGCGCTTCTCCCGGCGAGCCCGAGCCCCGGACGCGGTGCGAAAGTTGGCGGCGGTCCGGGATGGTTTGCTGTAGTTAGGGGCAGGGGGTCCCCTCTCGCCCCCAAGTTAGGATCCTGCGGACGCCTTCTCGTGGTTGAGGGTGTAGGTGTGCGTGCCTTCAAGTCTCTCCCAGAATTTCCCCCCTTACCCCTTTAGACAGGGTTCTCCTGTGTCATAGCCTTGGCTGTCCCGGAGACCTGGTGGCCTCGAACTCTGAGATCCTCCTGCCTCTGCCTCCGAGTGCAGGGATAAAAGGCAAGCGCCACCTCCGCCCGACTACTTACCCCCCCTCCCCATAGAGCCAGGAACCCGGTTTTTACTTTATTTGAAAGACTACAGAGATTGTCTAAATTTTTGCAAATGACCATAAAATTAGAAAATATGTGACTAGGGAAAGGGATACTCATTTCCTTTTCTCTTCTAAAAGACTCAAAAATTGAATAAATTGTGCAAGTTATCGCTTATTCGTTCTTTTTGGTTTTTCGAGACAGGGTTTCTCTGTGGCTTTGGAGCCTGTCCTGGAACTAGCTCTTGTAGACCAGGCTGGCCTCGAACTCAGAGATCCGCCTGCCTCTGCCTCCCGAGTGCTGGGATTAAAGGCGCGCGCCACCACAGCCTGGATCAAATTACCGTTTATTTTTGATTAGTTTACAGTATGCTTTCTATAGGCTCTAAAGCATTTTTAAGGAATTTTCCAAGGGCTTGAAAGTTAAAACTTCTTAATATTGGATACCAGTGTTGAGTGAGTCTGGAACATGAGCTACAGGTGGTTGTGAGCCACCTGACGGGTGTTAGGAATTGAACGTGGGCCCTCTGCCAGAGTGGTATAAGTTCTTAACCACCGAATTGCCTCTTCAATCCTGAAATTTATTTGTTTGTTTGTTTATATTTTTCTTTTTTGGTTTCGAGACAGGGTTTCTTTGTAGCTTTGGAGCCTGTCCTGGAAACTAGCTCTTGTAGACCAGGCTGGCACGAACTCTCAGAGATCCCCCTGCCTCTGCCACCCTAGTGCTGAGATTAAAGGCCTGCGCCACCACTGCCGGGCTTCTGAAATTAATTCTTAAAAGTGATTACAGTGCTTTCTGTTTGTCCTTTTTGCCTAAGCTTGTGTTCTGTTTCCTTTTAAAGTCGTATGACTGGACAAGAAGGAAAAGAAGTCATTGCAGAAATTGAGAAAAATCTTCCTCGGCTCTATACAGTTTTAAAGGTCTGTATTTATTTTTGAATCTTTGGGATTCCAGGTGCAACTCCTGACTGTCTTTCCAGTAAATGATTCTTCACTTGGGCTCTAGCATCACCCAGTGCATTTTTAACCCCGAATACACCATAGCAGCGGTTATATTAACAGGGATTGCTCTCTCTTCTTAAGTTTGGTTCACCAGGTACTGTTAATTACCTTCTGTGTTCTCTCACTTTAATTTCCATACTCTAGGGCCTCTGGCATGCTAGTGAAGTGCTTTCTATGTACCATCAAGCTATACCCTCAGCAGGTCAGGAAACTGGTTTGTTTGCTGATGTCTTCAGGACTGCCTTAATTCAAAGCCTAAAACAGTTGTCACAGATAAAATCTCTTTGCTTTTTGCAAGTATACAAGTATGTTATCTGAAAATGGCAATTATACATGTTTTTGGTGGAGCAAGGGAGTTTTTGGGACATTTTTCCAGTAAAGCCGTGGCCTTAAGCCAGGTAGTTAGGTGACAATCCTCCTGCCTCTGCCGCTCAAATATTAGCATTATAGGCTGGGACTAGCAAAACCCACAGTACATGTTAATTTGTTTTCATTCATGATCAATTTTTGATAATTATACCTGCTTGAAAAATTGTTAAAATTATAGTTGGCTTGCTCCTCTTTTATTTAGTGGTCATAGTTACCATCGGGCAGTCTGTAGTCTTATCCTCTCCACCACTTAGTGATCTCATGACGTGCCATCAACTCTTTTCAACAAATACTTTGTTTTTAGAATGAAAATACTGAATTAAATATCCCAACCTCATTGAAATTATTACTATTTTTTTTGACAGGGTCTCTAGTCCAGGCTTGCCTTGGACTTCTATATAGCTGAGGATGACCTTGAACTTCTGATCCTCCTGCCCCCCCAGTGCTGGGCTTACAGGCATGTGCCACCACTTTGCATTTATGCAGTGCCGGGGATCGATCCCAGGGCTTCATGCATGCTAGTCGAGTACTATACCAACTGAAAAGTACATCCCCAGCCCCAAATTTCTTCATTTTTTTTTTTTTTAACTTTAGGATTGAGATAAAATGCCTGATATATAGTAGATACTTGGGAATTGCTACACTGCAACTGCTTCCCTCTCCTAGACTTAGAGGAAGAAGGCATTGCTCCATTCTAAACCTAGGATGGCAACTTTTCATTTGAGACTTCGCTTACTCATTGTTGAGATATGCCCCCATTTGTTTCCTGTCTAATAATTTTTAACATCTTTCATTTGTTGGCCTTTTCTTTGTTTTGCATGAGGTGTCAGTTATCTTTTTTAAAAAATGTTCTTTCAGTTGATTTAATAAATTTTAATACCTGCATGTATGTCTGTGTACCTGTGCTTTGACCATAGAAGCCAGAAGAGGGTGTCAGAACCCCATGAATTGGAGTTAACAGGCAGGTTGTGAGCTGCCATGTGGGCACTGGGATCTAAATCAAGACATTCTACTAGAGTAACTGCTGAGCTATCATCTTTCCAACCCCTTCCAGTCGATCTTTTTCTAGTTCCTTCTCCTTTGCCAGATCTTGCCTGTTTTCACTTACTCCCAAAAGGTTGCCTGATTGATTGGATTAAAATGCATTGTATTTGGGTTGTAGTTGGATTTGATTCTAGAAACGGTTTCTCTGCTGTGAGTGTTATTTTGATTTTGTAGGCTCACATTTCCAGCCAGAACTCAGAATTGAGTAGCGCTGCTCTACAAGCCTTGGGATTTTGCTTATATAATCCCAAAATTACCTCAGGATTATCAGGTAAAATGATTATAGCTATTGATATCTGTTAAGTTTAAAGTATAGTTTAATGCAGTTAAAGTACTGTTATTTATGGATTAATTTTACAATTTATAGTTTTTCCCCACTTAGGATGGTATTTACTTGGTGTGTGTGCACCTACACTCAAGGTCAGAGAGCAACTTGGAGTAGTCTATCTACCAAGGGAGTTCTGGGATTGAATTTATCATTATGCTTAATGACGAGGGCCTTTCTGGCTTAGTCTTGGATTGGTCCCAAACTGTTTTTTAGTAGGACACACACACACCCCTACTAAAAATTAAATATTTATTATTATTATTATTTTGGATTTCGAGACAGGGTTTTCTCTGTAGCTTTTTGGTTCCTGTCCTGAAATTTGCTCTGTAGACCAGGTTGGCCTTGAACTCACAGAGATCTGCCTGCCTCTGCCTCCTGAGTGCTGGGATTAAAGGCGTGTGCCACCACGGCCCGGCTTTAGTCAGGATTTTGTATTTTGACAAGAATTGCCTTTGCAGATTGTCTGATCATCATGTCACACATTTAAGAAATTGGAATTTCTGATCCTCTCATCTGTCTTTGTTGTTTTTATTTTGTGTTTGAGATTTTAAAGATTTTAAACTATGGTACATAATTGAAATTAAACCTTGTGTGTTTTTCAGAGGCAAATATTCAACAACTGCTTTTAACTTTGAATGATATCATTAAGATTTCAGACAAAAATGTGTGTACCAGGGCACTGTGGGTATTATCCAAACAGACATTTCCTACTGAAGTTATTAGCAAAATGGTGAGTACTGGGGCATTGGAATTATATGCAAATAAAACTGTTCTGCCTCATTTGATTCGTGTGTAATTGTTCTGTCGTTTAGGTATCCAGTATTATTGATTCACTGGAAGTGCTACTAAGTAAAGGAGAGATACATTCTGCTGTTGTTGATTTTGAAGCATTAAATGTTATTATAAGGTATGCAGTTCTTGTATAAATTTTTGCTTTGGGGTTTGTATATATGGTGAAATATAGATATTAAACAATGGAGTTGGCAGTTTGCTATCAAGCCTGACAACCGGAGTTCAATCCCTAGTACCCAAGTGAAAGGAGAGACCTGTTCCTGCAAGTTCTCTGACCTCCAAGCACTCTGGATGTGTAGACATAAATGCTGGTACATGTACACATACGCACACAGGAAAAAAACTTAAGAGTAAGGTTTAAAAAAACAAAGGTAAATATCCTTTAGACCCAAACCAAGCAAGAGAAAGGTAATAAGATGAAAAAAAATTTGTAGTTTTTTTCCCATTTAGGAAGATATTTACTTGGTGTGTGTGCACCTACACTCAAGGTCAGAGAACAACTTGGAGTAGTCCATCTACCAAGGGAGTTCTGGGATTGAATTTATTATCATTATGCTTAGTCCTGGAACTAGCTCTAGTAGACCAGGCTGGCCTCGAACTCTGAGATCCGCCTGTCTCTGCTACCCTAGTGCTGAGATTAAACAAACAAAAAAAGCGCCTTTCCAAGAAGCCGTCGGGTGTCGCCGCTGCACCCTGCCCTAGTCACCTGGCAGGCATATAGACCAAGGCGCCCTGCACTGCCTGCTTGCGACCACCATGGCTCCTTGCTTTCCCTGCCCCGGCTCTGTCTCCCCTGGGCTGTAAGTTGCTGTTTTTATTTTTTACTGAAATAGTCTTGGCTATATTTCTGTTGGTAATGTATTTAGGTCCTAAAAAATTGTATGTAAAGGCTTTCAGAATATAGTGAGCTAGCCAGGATCATTCTTTTTTTTAATTTATTTATTATGTATATAGTATATAGTATTCTGGTGCCAAAAGAGGGCACCAGATCTCATTACAGATGGTTGTGAGCCACCATGTGGTTGCTGGGAATTGAACTCAGGACCTTTGGAAGAGCAGGCAATGAATGCTCTTAACCTCTCCAGCCCCCCAGGAGCATTCTTGCACTTCCTCTTAGACATGCTGGCAGCACAGTTTATATAGTTTAATTTTCTAAGTTTTCTTTAGTTGTTCAGCTGTTTGCTTTGTTGTTGTTCTGGTGCTATATATGACTGACTTGGTAGATTATGATCACCTTTAATAATGTTCAATTTGATAGTATAGTTATTGTAATTACAATTCTTGGTTTGTACATACTACTGTGCCTTTGTGGAGGTTAGAGGACAAATGAGGGATTAAGTTCTTTTCTCCCACAGTGTGGGTTCCAGAGATCAAAACTCAGGTCATCAGGCTTCCCAGCAAGCACCTCATCAGCTTTGACTTTGGAAACAAAAGTTGTTATCTAAGATGAAGATTGTGAAAAGTCTAGAAGTGTCCTTCCTGAAAGTCAGTGGTAGAGTGCTTTTTAAGCATGAGGTGCTAGCTTTAGTCACTAGTGCTGCAAGAAAAAGAACATACTAATCAAAACAGAATTCCAGGGCATATGCACATGGGTAATACAGATGTATGCAGGTACAATTTAATCTATTTCTCTGTATACACATTTTTTTATATTTATTTATTATGTATACATTATTCTGTCTGTGTGCATGTCTGCGGGCCAGAAGAGGGCACCAGACCTCATTCCAGATGGTTGTGAGCCACCATGTGGTTGCCGGGAATTGAACTCAGGACCTTTGGAAGAGCAGGCAATGCTCTTAACCACTTAGCCATCTCTCCAGCCCCCTGTATACACATTTTGTATTTATGTACAAATGATACATTTGAGATATATACATTTTGAAATAATTGGGTCATGTTATCCTGTGTGCTCATTTTTCTGGTAATTTCTTTTGTAGTGTTAGGGAGTGATTTGAGCATATTAGGTAAATGCTCTACTGCTTAAATTGCATCCCAAACCAGATGTCTCCCGCCCTCCCCCCCCTCCCCCCCTTCCTCCCTCCCTCCCTTCCTTCCTTATGTATACAATATTCTGTCTGTGTTTATGCCTGCAGGCCAGAAGAGGGCACCAGAGCTCATTACAGATGGTTGTGAGCCACCATGTGGTTGCTGGGAATTGAACTCAGGACCTTTGGAAGAGCAGGCAATGCTCTTAACCTCTGAGCCATCTCTCCAGCCCCTTTTTCTTTTTTTTAAATTTGAGACAGCCAGGCAGTGGTGGCACATGCCTTTAATCCCAACAGAGACAGGTGGATCTCTGAGTTCAAGGGCAGCCTGGTCTACAAGAGCTAGTTTCAGGACTGGGTCCAAAGCAACACAGAGAAACCTTGTCTGGAAAAACAAACAAAAAATAAATAAATTTGATACATTTTCACCAAGTTACCTAGGCCTGGACTTAAGACAGCAGCATGTAGTTCAGGTAGGCCTTGAAACTTGTGATCATAACCTGTTGGACAGTTGAATTTATAGGCCTGTATCACCTGGCTTTGCTTCCTTTTTTTTTTTCTTTTGGTTTTTTCAAGATCACCACTCGACCTGGCTTTGCTTCTTGATGATTAACTTGACCTCGTTTTTTTTTTTTTTTAAGTTTAATTTAGTTACTGATTTCTCTTTTGTAGGCTAATTGAGCAAGCCCCAGTTCAAATGGGAGAAGAGTCTGTGAGGTGGGCCAAATTGGTCATACCATTAGTTGTTCACTCGGCGCAAAAGGTCCATTTGCGAGGAGCCACTGCTTTGGAGATGGGGATGCCGTTGCTGCTCCAGAAACAACAAGAAATAGCCTTAATTACAGAGCACCTTATGACTACTGTAAGTGTTGCCTTTTGTAAGTTTGCTGAATTATGTATTGGTGGCTTTTACCTGGAGTTTAAAATTCAGCCTGAAATCAGCTACTAGGTGATAGTGGTGCATGCCTTAGATCCCAGTACTCTGGAGGCAGAGGCAGGTGGAGATCTGTGAGTTCTAGGACAGCCTGGTCTACAGAGCTAGTTCCAGGACAGGCTCCAAAGAATCCCTGTTTCAAGCAAAACAAAACAACAAATTCAGCTTGAATTATTATTGTAGTTACACCATGCCTGACGAGTTTAGTTTTATTTTTTTAAATATTTATTATGTATACAATATTCTGTCTGTGTATATGCCTGAAGGCCAGAAGAGGGCGCCAGACCTCTTTACAGATGGTTGTGAGCCACCATGTGGTTGCTGGGAATTGAACTCAGGACCTTTGGAAGAGCAAGGCAATGCTCTTAACCACTGAGCCATTTCTTCAGCCCCCACGAGTTTAGTTTTAAATCAAAACAAAGTTTAGGCTCAATTGTAGATTGCTAGCTTAGCATGCACAATGTCTTGTGTGCAGTCTTAATTATTAGATAAAATCAAATATAGAAATGTTAACATTCAAATTACTCCTATAAGTGTTTTAATTTAAAAGTCTAGATGTTTTATCACTTCTCTAGTGAATGATGAATAAAGAGGGATTATATTTCTGAAAAGGGGAGAATTGTAATGGATTTAGTTGTTAGTATAGCATCTCAGTTGATAAACATTTAATGCGTATAAGCTCATGTAAATGTAGTTTCCTAACTCCTGTTTCAAGTCTTATGTTCACCAACCTCTGTTCTTCACAGCATCTGTTGAGCATTTGTTTTTGGGTGTGTATGTGTGTTGAGGTGAATTGTTAAAGGCATTGTTAGTGGTAATGTGTAAACACCTGTGAGGTTTATTTCCTACCATAACAAAACAGATAAGACATAGTAGTATAAAGAAAAGGTTAGAATTAGACATAAGCAGTGATTAAACATATAAGAATTAACTGTAAAATGATAATTAAGTATAATTAATAATAGTGTCAGCTCATTTTAGGTGAGAAAGTCATGAGAGCCAAGGGCCCCTTTGTGCACCCAATTGGTTTTCAGGGAATGTCCTGGGATTCTTTTCTTCAGTGGAAGAGAATGACAGATACGGAGCACCTAATCACATAGGAATAGGACTTGAGGACTATTGTAAGTTGGTTTTTGTTTGGAGATAGGATCTCATTTTATAGGACTGGGTGAGTCTTGAGTGGCCTGGAACACTTTGTGTACATCAGGCTGGCCTTGAATTCAGACTTTCTGCCTCCTGAGTCTGGGATAAAAGGCATGTGTGACCAAGCCTGGTTTATTATTAGGTCTTGACTTTTCTGTGTATGTTTGTGTTTGCATGGATACAAGCATGAGAGGCTCAAAGGACAATCTCTCTGGTGTTCTTCAGGCACAGTTCCCTAATTCCCCCTCCCCCCCTTTTTTTCTAAAGACTATTCACTGGCCTGGTACTTGATGGATCCTCTTTTTTTTTTGTAAGATTTATTATGTACACATTTTCAGCTTCCATGTATTGCCTGCAGGCCAGAAGAGGGCGCCAGATCTCATTACAGATGGTTGTGAGTCACCATGTGGGTTGCTGGGGATTGGACTTCCGGAAGAGCAGGCAGTGCCCTTAACCTCTTCGCCATCTCTTCTGCCCCCATGGGTTCTCTTTTCTCCATCTTTCCAACTTTGGGATTTCAAACATGTACAAATTTTTTTTAAAACAAAGGTTCTGGGGATCAAATCTAGGTCCTCTTACTTGTCTTGCAAGCCCTATACCAGCCCATGAAGTTTTTATTTTTACCATGATTTATATGGAATGCCACATGTTAATTACTTATTGCTTTGATGTAATATTTAGAAGAATATGCATAGACTCTCAACACCAAGAAAGAGAAAACGAATAAGCCTGAGGAAGATTTCTTTAGGGTGCACATTTGGTTAATTGGTACCATGCATGATTTTAATCATGAACTTTATGGTGGCAGGCGTGTATAGCAGAGTATATGCTGCTTCTCACAGTGTGCGGCACACACCTGTAATCACTGAATTTGAAAGGCATTGATAAGAAGGATCTTTGTGAGTTAAAGTTGGTTTTCATTAGCATGTAGGAGTTCTCTGTCCTGCCACCCAGCTCCCAAATCATGATGTGAAGATTTATTATTAATTATATGAAAGCTTGGCCAATAGCTTAGGCTTGTTTCTAACTAGCTCTTATAGCTTAAATTAACCTATTTCTACTTATATATTGCCTCGTGGCTTTCACCTCTCCTCCTGCCTTACTTCCTCTGCATCTGGCTTGTGATACCCTTTATTCTTCCCAGCATCCTCTCTGCCCTGAAAATCCTGCCTACTGATTGGAGTTCAACTTTTTATTAAACCAGTCTGAGTGATACACCTTAACAGTGTACAAAAAATTATTCAACCACAATAGAAAGTAATAGGTCCTCCACACCAGTATAGTGGGACTTCATCTTGATAAAAAATCAAACTAAAAGTCATAATATTGTACTGGAAGCAGAGAATTGGAAGGAGCTATGGAAAGATCCCTTAAGACTTTCTCTCACTAATGTGCTTTCTCCTCATAGGCCAGTTTTTATTACTAATTCTCCACATAGACCGATCTATACATTTGAGTGAAAACGTTTATTTTTTTTTTAATTTGCTTTTCAGATTTATTCTATGTATATTGTGAGTGCATGCTTGGGTGCAAGGATATACATGTTTGGGTGCACATAGGATCAGATGATAGCTTTTATTTTTGGATACAGTCTCAATATGACATTCATTGTGTAGACCAGATATATCTTGAATTTACAGAGATCAGCTTGCCTATGCCTCCTGAGTAATGGAATTAAAGACATGTGCCACCATTCCCAATAAGAGGGCAAATTGGGTGTCTCAGTGGTAGGCTTGCAGATGGTAAGGTTTGAGCAGTGCCTTTGCCCACTGAGCTGTCTCATAGGCTCTTGAGCTTTTAGACATCTGTTACTATGAAGCTCTTAGAATTTCTTAGTGTAAGAAGATCACTATAGTATCATTTGAATTCTAGTTAATCATGTGCGTAATAAAGAATAATGTGGATGGTCAGATGAACATGAAACTGGTATTTGTAGATTTTTTTAACTATTAGCTTCTTCACATTGCTCTATGCTGCAGCTTTTGCTTTCTGTGGAGGATGTGTTTGTTCACATTTGGAAAGGTTATTTGGTTCAATAAATTAATGCTTAAAAATTTTTTAGACTTGTGGATTTTTTTGCTTTTTGAAGTATTGATAATACTTTTAATAATTACCTTTGTTTACAGAAATTAATCTCAGAACTCCAAAAGCTGTTCATGAGTAAGAATGAGACTTATGTATTAAAATTGTGGCCTTTGTTTGTCAAACTTCTTGGAAAGGTAAGTACTACAGATAAAGAACTAGTTGATATTTTCATAATTTGAATATGCCAGAATTTTTACTTGAAGAGTATCCAACACTCAGGCTGCTCTGGAGCTCACCGCTCACCACCGTAGCACAAGCCTAGGACACAACCACTGTGCCCAGCTTATGTGTGGGTGTGCATGCTTATGTGTGCACTGATGCACATTAACGTGCACATTCATGTGGAGGCCGGAACGCAACTTCAGGTGGTGCTCATTAAGTGCCATCTGCCTTTTTTTTAAATGAATGATGTGTGAGAAATGACACCCATCAGACTCATTGGGACTCCTTGAGGGAGTTGTTCATACCTTCATTACAGGTTCCCAGTGAACTCAGGGTGGCAGATCCACCTTCCTCTCTGCTGGTGTTAAAGGCATCTGTTACTATCTCCTAACATCTGTCTTTGAGGCAGGCTTCTTTCTAGCAATGGGATTACAAGTCTTTGCCACCATGTCCGGCCTTAAAACAGCATATGTGGTGTATGTGTTATATGTACATGCACTCACAGAAATGTCGGTGTGTACATGGAGGTCAAGGCAACTTTGTTAAGTTTTTCTTTCCTTCTACTGGAGATTAAACTCAGGTTTTCAGGTTTCTGTGCTGAGCCTTCTCACGGGCCTTTCTGTCCAGAGTTGATTTTTGAGATATGCTCTTATTATGTAGTCCTGTCTAGGCTAGAGCTCTGTTCCTCAGAATTACCTTGAAGGCAGATTTGCCTGCCTCTGCCTTCTATATTCAACCACATCCAGCTGCCTAGCTTTTGAACCTGGGTTCTGAGGATTGATTTAATTTGGGTCCTCATCAATGCACAAGCACTTTATTGAACAGCTGTTTCCCCCATACCTTTAGCTTGTTTTTAATTTGCTTAAAACATCCTCATTACTCATGTTAAAGGTCTTTTATGTTGTAAGCAATGTGACCTTTGTTTACTGATTATGAGCCAAGAACATGGTATCAAGTGAATAAGTGAATTATTTTGATGCGTTTTTTTCTCTTTTCTTAGGCCTTGCACCGAAGTGGGAGTTTCATCAATTCTTTGTTACAGCTGGAAGAATTGGGCTTCCGTAGTGGAACACCCATGATTAAAAAGATAGCTTTCATTGCTTGGAAAAGCTTAATAGATAATTTTGCTTTAAACCCAGGTATGTAAATAGTTTTAAATTCTTTCTTTGTCTTTCGTCCAGCAGTACTGGAATTTTGTCAAAGTGAGTTTATTCTGTCTTTTTTTTGGTATAGTAATCTTTTACTTTATCCATATTTTCTTTTAAGATATACTTTGTAGTGCAAAAAGACTCAAGTTGTTAATGCAGCCTTTGAGTTCCATCCATGTGAGAGCAGAAACATTAGCATTAACAAAACTAGAAGTCTGGTGGTATTTACTGATAAGACTCGGACCTCAACTCCCTGGCAACTTTGAACAGGTAACATCGTAATTATTAACCATTAACTTAGATTCATGTGTCATTGTAGTTTTTTGTTTCCTGTGATAGGGTCTTAATTTTGTAGCACTTTGCTGGGCTGGAACTCCCTATTAGAATATTAGAAGTATTCACCAGCATGCCTGACATGTGTCCTTAAATTCTAACCGTTCTAATTTCAGAAGTGTTTTTTTGTTAGGTATCTATTTTAAAAGTCTTTTATTCTTTTATTGCACAGTATTCTCCAGAGGCCTAAGATGGAGTACTCATAAACCTTTAGTCAGCAAATGCCAACATACCAGTATAGAATATTCACTTAAGAACTATCTCATTTGTTCTATGTATGGGTGTTTTGCCTACATAATGTAGCGTGTTTGTACCCTTTGATGCCAGAAGAAGCTTCAGATCCTTGAACAGGGGTTATCAGAGTGTTAGTACTACGGATGTGGGGAATCCAATTTAGGTCCTAGAAGAGCAGCCAGTGCTTCATTGCCTAACCATCTCCAGCGTTTTATGTGTTTTGCCTGCGTGTATGTCTACATTACTTTTGTGCCTCATCTCAGAGGTGTTTGTTGAATCTCTGGGATTGGAATTAAAGAACCATCTCTCTAGCCCTGTCTTCATATTTTCTAATGTTACTTTTCCCAGAAGCTTTGCTCAGCAGGGGTTATATTGCTTAGTGGTAGGGACTATGATTAGACTGTACCTAACCATTTGTTTAATAGTCAACAACAAAGAAGAATTTAAAAACTTAAAGTGTGGGGATGTACATAAATTGACAGGATGCTTGCTCATTATGCTTGTTGCCCTAGAGTCAAACTTCTGGACCACAAAAAATGGAATGTGCTGGTGCATGTCTTTATCCCTAGCACCCAAGAAGTAAAGGCAAAAGAAGTTGTATGTTGAGTTCCAGGAAAGCCTGGGATGTAGGCAACCTTGTCTGGGGAGGAAAACTACAACAAATGCACCAGTAGCATGTGCAACTAACTCAGAATTTGTTTGCCAAAGTTAATGTGTGCAATTTTGTTTAGAATATAGAACTAACTAAAACACATATCCCAGCAAATACAAGTATGGAAATCTTGTTCTTTGCCAAGTTGTGGTGGCACATGCCTTTAAATTTAGCACTTGAGAGACAGGCAGATCTCTTCAAGGGCACCCTGCCCTCAGTGAGTTCCAGGACAGCTAGAACTAGACTGAGAAACCCTGTCTCCAAAGTAACCAAAACAAAACCAAAAGAGAAAGAAAAAGAAAACTTGTCTTGCATTTCAGATTTTTTTTTTTTTTTTAACCAATGTGTCTCTCCTGGCCTGGAACTTGAGTCATGTTTAGATTTAAAAACAGTTTTGTGTTTAGAACGTAGAAGATCTTAAGTTTTTAATTGACCTGATCTATCTCCATATCAGGAAGGATTAAGATTGCTTCTTGAGAAAATTTATATCTTGCTGGTGGTGACACATTCCTTTAGCACTTCGGATCTCTGAGTTGACGGTTATCCTGGTCTACAGAGTGAGATCCAGGGCACATAGGCTTGCACATTGAAATCCCACCTCAAAAAAAGCACATCACTTGTAAACCTTTTACAAACTTGACAATGAAACTATTGCTGTTTTGTCTTTTCATCTGTTAGGTTTGTGTGCCTTTGATTCAGAGTACAATAAGTGTTGATAGTAGTGTTGCTTCACCGCAAGGCAGTTCATCTCGAGGGGCTACGTCTCCTGGCTTAAGTCCACTGAGTCCACTGACTCCTGGACATAAAGGTGAGAGAGATTTCCTTCCTTTTGAAAAGTCTTTCAAGGAGTGGTTGCTCTTTCATCTGGTGTCCTTTAAGCAAAAAGTTCTTTTTGTGTTTTTGAGACAGGATCTCCTATAACTTAGCCTGTCTCAGAACTTGGTGAGGCTAGTCCTAAATTGCTGATTCAGGATGACCTCTACCTTTCAAATATTGGGATTAGAGGGCACACCTTTAATGCGTTCTTATCTATGCTCTTTGTTACTGATTGTTAGTCATTTTGCTACTGATTTTGCAGCTTTTAATTGAATTACTTGGGTGGTTGGAAAGTTTTTTTTTTTTGGTTTTCTTTTTATCTTTGTATATAGCCCAAATTTGAATTTTTCCCCCCTGTTATTTAAGACTGATGAGAGCTCTTTGTGTTTTGAGACATGCTCTCACTATCTAGTTCTGGCTAGCCTGGAACCCACTGTGTTGACCAGCCTGGCTTTGAACTGACAAAAGTCCTCCTGCAGTTGTTGGGATTGCAAAGTCAGACCCAGCTCATTTCATGCTACACGAATTGATTGCCAATAAACAACTCGGAATGACAAAGTAGCAAAAACTTGCTTGCATTGAAAATGGACCTTAAAAGACACTTAAAGTGGCCTTAGAAAGCAATTATTTGTCTTTAATATATGTCCTCCTTTTTCAGCGTTTTAGATTTTCTATTCAAGTTTCAGAAAGGCTTGAATATTAATTTGAGGATGTCTGTCATGTTTCTGAAGGTATATTGTATTGCTAGGAAGTATAACTTGAATGATTTTGTATTTGTTTTAAAGGAGTTCCTGCAACACCACGCATGAGTCCGAGTTCAAATATTGGTGGAATGGCTTCAATCCCTTCCATTCAGCTTTTGGGACTGGAAATGATGCTTCATTTTTTGTTGGGTCCAGAAGTCTTGAATTTTGCTAAGCAACACAAGCTTGTATTAAGCTTAGGTATTTGTTTTGGAAATAATTTCATGTGTTTGAAACTATCTAAAACTTATTGTGGTGGATGGAGGAGAGGCCTCATTCACAACAACTTAATAGTGATTGTTGAGTGAAATAAGTATAAATTTATGTAAAATCTTTTAGATAATTTTTTTTTTTTGAAAATTTTGCTCCGTAAATCTTTGACTTGATTGATTGTCTTATATTCCCCTTTAGAGCCACTGGAGTACCCACTAATCAGCAGCCCTTCTTTCTTCTCTAAGCATGCGCATACACTTATCACTGCTGTTCATGATAGCTTTGTTGCAGTTGGAAAAGATGCTTCGGGTAAGTTTAGGATTATTATTATTATTATTATCATTTATTTTTGAAACGGGGTTTCTCTGTAGTTTTTGGTGCCTGTCCTGGAACTAACTCTTGTAGACCATGCTGGCTTCGAACTCAGAGAGGTCGCTTGCCTTTGTTTTCCCGAGTGCTGGGATTTAAAGGAGTGCACTACCACCTCCTGGCAAAAATTTAGGACATTTTAAACTCAAAAGTCTCGTTTATTTTTTTTTTTTTTAACCATCTACGTGTTCGCATGTGTTTGGCCCTACACGTGCAACAACACATGGGGATGTTGGAACAACTTTTTGGTACTCAAGTTCTTCACCATGTGGGTCCTGGGAATTTAGGCTCTCAGGGTTGGAAGCAGGAACCTTCACCCATTGAGTCATCTCCCCAGCCCTTTAAAAAAAAGAAAAAAATATTACTGAGTTTTGGTGTGACATACCTTTCTTTAAGTCACAGCACTCAGAAGGCAGAGGGAGGTAGATCTTGAGTTCAAGGCCAGCCTGGGCTACAGAGCCAGTTCGAGGACAGCAAGGGCTACACAAAGAAATCCTGTCTCAAATAATAAACAAAACCAAACATTTATTTGCACACCAAAAAAGTTTGTTTTCCTTGAAGTAACTTGTATTAAACCATTATAACTGGGAGATAGGAGGGGCTGACAGCACTGGGGAGGGAGAGGCAGGCTAGTCTGATATTTGATGCCTGCATTGTCTGTCTAGCATGTTTCAGACACCCAAGACTACATAGGGTAAGAAAATAGTTGGATTGTACTAAGAGATAGATAATGCATAGTAGAGGTGGTAAGACAGGAATACTGCCAAACGTTTGATGCCACCCTAGGCAACAAAGATAACCGTGCTTCAGAATGAGTCTGGTGGCAAACATGATCTGAGCATTGGAGAAGCTGAGAAAAATGGGTCACTCACTTAAGGTAGACCCAGTTTTCAAACATAGAGCCTGTCACCCAAAAATAAGTAGGTAAAATAAAGCATATTATTTTCTCCTATTATGCATGTATGTGTGTATTAAGTCTTTTCCACGGCACATGTGAAAGACGGGACAAATTTTGGAAGTTCTTTCCTCCATTAATGTCAGTTGTGTCTCAGGATTAAACTCAGGTTATCAGATTTGGCAAAAGTGCCTGCTGAGACATTTTATTTTGTTTTGGTTCTTTTTATTTATTTTGTTTTTAATAAATAAAAGGGTACTGTTTATTTAATAAACAAAAGGTGTAGCTATGGAGTCTAGGCTGGGGAAATTTGTATTCTTTGGAAATCATCTGACCTGAAACCAGTGGTAGTCCTCTTGTCTTTGACTTCGAGACAGGGTTTCTCTGCAGCTTTGGAGCCTGTCCTGAAACTAGCTTTTGTAGACCAGGTTGGCTTTGAACTCCCAGAGATCCATCTGCTTCTGCCAGCCTGAGTGCTGGGATTAAAGGCGTGCGCTACCACTGCCCCACTTGTCTCTGACTCTTAAGTGAATGGATAAGTGTGTACACCGGGCATGACTTAACATTTAAATCATTGTTTTCCTTTTTGCAGAAGTGATGGGCATTCAACGTAGAAAATACAGATAAAAGTGAAAACTAAATGTTCTTTGTTATAGGATAGGCCCATTGTTAACATGTCCTTTTTAAAAAGCCGTAATTTCTATAAAGAGATTGAAATGGTGGTTTTATAAATAGTCAAATTCTCAATTTGCTGTTAGTATAAGGAACTGCAGAATAGGTTTTGCTTTCTTGTTTTCTTAGAGTTATTTTATATATACAAGTATTTGCCTGTGTATGTATGTACTAGAGCCTGGTGATGAAGGAGGTTAGAAGAGGACATCAGATTCCTTTAAACTGGAGTTAGTTAGACATGGGTTACTAGGAACTGAACCTTATCTTAAAACGGTTTGTTTCCTTGACAGATGCCGTAGTTAGTGCTATCTGGAAGGCGCTAATTAGCTTGGTGAAGTCAGTTACTGAGTCAGGTAAGCACTATTACATTGCTAAGTGACCTTCACAGCTGCAAGTGCAGTGCTTCACTTGCCAGTGTAAACCTTATTTGTATTACGTTTATGAAATTAATCTTTTAATCCTTTAACAAGTTGCTTAAATTGTTTAATTCAAATAAAATTTTCATAGCTCTTAGTAGATATATACTCACCTAAAACATGTTTGGAATTATAGCCTTTTTTTATTATTTCATAGGAAACAGAAAAGAAAGATCAGGTTCTGAAGTTTTGACTCTCTTACTAAAATCTTTGGAAAACATAGTGAAGTCAGAAGTATTTCCTGTACCAAAAACACTGGTAAATATATTTATAAATTGCCTTAAAGTCCAATTCTGAGATTCAGTTTATATTGATACTGTTCAGTTAATGTTTGGCACATACCTATAATACCAAATATTGACTAGTAATTTAACTGTATTTATTGTAACTGCCATTCAAATGTCATTTGAAACCTGCATCGTAAATAGCTGTAGCAGTAGCAGCTACAGACATCTACAGTGTTGTTAAAGGGAGACATGCAACTTAACAAATTTCAATGTTTATGGTGCTTGGTAACAATAGCAAACTGTCAGTTTTTAAGTATGCTTTAAAAACTTCAATAGTAGGAATGAAAAAAATAAGTTGGAAAAAATAACGTAGTTTTTATAATAGTGTAACAAATACACCGTGCTGGTATAGCATAGTAGATGGTATCAAGGACTAGAACAAATTAGGTTGAATCTTTGTCTAACTAAGGGAATTTGGACAATTAATTGCCTTGCTTATGTGGCATATCAGTTCTGAATTTATATTTGTAAAAAGTGTACTTAGTAGTTTAAATAGTTAAATGAGTTTATATTTACAAAGCAGTCTGGACAAGGCACAAATTAATATTGTCAACTTTAGTGTATTTCCAAAATCGGCTAAAAATGTCTTTACTAAAGTAACTATTAATGACACTTAACACCTTGTAGTTCATATTATTACAAGCACAGGAAGACTTGGAATAGTTTAGGAGACTCTAGCATCTTTAGATTTATAATCTGAGAATTGACTTGTAGTTAAGTTAACAAGCTGTTTAAATAGGCCTTTTAGGCCTGTTTGGTGTGTGTGTGATTTTTGTTAGTTTTTCGAGACAGGGTTTCTCTGTAGCTCTAGAGCCTGGCCTGGAACTCACCAGGCTGTCCTCGAACTCACAGAGATTTACCTTCCTCTGCCTCCTGAGTGCTGGTATTAAAAGGCCTGCACTACCACCACCGAACTTGCAGAGTTTCTTATAACAATGAACTACTATGAAGGTCCATTTTTAGAAAAATAGTTAAATTATGGATATTTGTTCATGTATTTGCTTTTTATTCTAATACAAAAACTTATTTTCTCTTTGAACTTTTGAAATAAGGTAAACATAAACAATAGTTTGAATATAATGTAAACATTATACACAATAGTCTATGAATATACTGTAATGAATCACAATGTAAATATATAATATATAAAGAATATACTATAATAAATTACAAGTGATGATTACTTAAGTTAGAAACATAGATGATGTAAAGTTTTTATTGAGGAACAGATTTTTATCGCTAACTATTGTAAAATCTTTCTTTCTTAGGTTCTCATGGAAATTACAATTAAAGAACTTCCTCAGAAAGTATTAGGTTCACCAGCATATCAGGTTGCTAATATGGATATTCTTAATGCAAGTATCTTAAATGTAGTGTAGTGATATGATAAAGATTGGCAAAACAAAAATTCCTTTAGATTTCTTAAATGACAATTGAAGTTGGTTGGTTACGTTAAAAACCTTGTATGCCGAATAATAGGTTGCTGTGAAAAATTAAAGATGGCACGGTGCTATCAGATGACCTTTTTCTTCCCTGGGTTTATTATTGGACTCGAAAGAACGTTTTCTGTTTGTATGGAGTAATATTACTGGCTACTACTAAAGTATTTGAAAGCTTAGTAATAATTAGCTTAGTAGTGTGAAATTTGTTGTTTGTTGTTTGAAACATGGGTATTCTGAGTCCAGCAAGTTCTAGGGTGTGTCACCTGATGCCTCACCATCTTTGATTTCTCATGGGAGAACTAAGATCAGAGAATAGCATTGGATTTGGTTTTTTTTTTTTTTAATTTTTCTTTACTGTTCATTGAATTTTATTAGCTTCTTTGTGTCTCAATGTGGGAGAGCAGTACTTTGAGCTGCTAGGAGGTGTTAGATTCTCTTGCAGCTAGTTACAGGTGGTTGTGATCTACCTAATGTGGGTACTGGGAACTGAAGCCTGGTCCTTTGTAAGAGCAGAACACTCTTAACTACGGAGCTATCTTTTTTTCAAAAGAAAAAAAAAATTAAGCCCTAGTTGGCCTAGGGCTTGCTCTGTAAACCAGGTTTGCTTCTAAATCTCAAACTCATACATAGTGCTATTGTCATACCTGGCTTGTTTTGTTTTGAAGACAGAGTCTCATTAGGTATCCCATACTAGCCTTGAACTCAAGATTCTTCCCCTTCAGTTTACTGGCTGTTACAATTAAAAGTGTGTGCCTCTATGCCTTGCACTGTGTAGTTTTTGAAATAAACTGCTGTTGCCATCATACTCTAACTAAGGCTAAAAGCTTTCATTCTAAAATAAATCATATTAAATGCTTGTAGAAAACAAACTTTTACTGGGAATTGTGACTTTGTTTTCTTTTCAGGGAACTCCAGCTTTGTTCTTAATCCAGTTAATTTTTAACAGTAATCTTTTAGAATGTGGTGTTGCAGATGAAAAGTAAGTTTGCACCTTGCTTTTTATTTTAAGTCCTGTCACGGTTGCATGAGTATCAATCATGGTGGCCTGGAATCACTATGTAAAGAGACTGACTTGAACTGATTTCTCCTTTCTCCACTTGCTAATTTCTAGGATAGAAGTGTATCACTGTGGCCTTTTTGATTTTCAATGTTTTTATTTAGACCGTGTTTTTATTTAGCATCATGTTTAACCTGGCTATGTAGAGCAGGCTGTGCTTGAGCTCAGATCTGCCTATCTCTGCTGGGATTAAACTGTACAACTAATCCAGTCCATTGCCTGGTTTTTCCCTCTTTTTCATGAAAGATGATTATATAATGAATGAGATTAAAATTTGGTTTTAGAATTAAAAGTTTTTCTTATTTAAACATCCTGTCTATATACAGCCAAAGTTTGCCTCAAACTTGTGGCAGTTCTGCCTCCACTTCCTAGGTTACAGATAGATAACCCACTAAGCTCAGTTGGTCATTTTGTGTTTTGTGTTGTGGCTTTATAGCCCAGGGCCATCTTATTGTAGATCTTTTTGTGTCTGATTCCCCAATGCTGGGGTTTGTCACCAGGTCTTGTGTTAAAGACATTTGTGTGTGTGTGTGTGTGTTTTGCCTGCATGTGTGTCTGCACCATGTATATGACTTTTACTGCCTTTGGAGGCCAGATTCCACGTCAAATCACTTGGATGTGGAATTATGGATGGTGGCAGTGTGGGGCAGGAAACTAACCCAGATTTTGGAAAGAACAAGTGCTCTTGAGTTTTCTCTAGCTCTTATGTCATAATTTGATATTTGGGGTACGTGGGTAGCTGGTTGTGATTAGAGGCTGGTAGTTGTGTTAGAGCCTAGGGAGATAAATAAAAAACAGACTTCATTTCTTGTGTTCAATTGTTGATTTTAGAATTTTGCTAATGCATAAATGTCTTTCTGGATGAAGTACTCATTCTGATACATTGTTCTAATTTTCTAGGTTTTTTCTTAATCTGGAAACACTTGTAGGATGTGTACTTTCTGGTCCAACTTCGCCATTGGCTTTTAGTGATTCTGTACTGAGTGTGATTAATCAGAATGCGAAGCAGTTGGCAAACAAGGAGCATCTCTGGAGAATGTGGAGTATTATAGTCACTCCTTTGACTGATGTGATTCATCAGGTACTGCACAGCTGCTGTGGCTCCCTCCCTGGGGTCTGGACTAACCTTTGTAGATCAGGTTGAACTTGTGCTTGGCACAGTCCCCTGCCTCTGCTACCACCATGCTAGTTTCTCCCTATTTTGAAAGATCACAAGTAATGGGTTTAAATAAAAATTAAAAATACTTAATTTTTTTTTGAATGGTAGCAGGGGCTTTTATGAGTTCATTTGACTAATTTCTTTTTAGTCTTTCCCTACAGCCAAGAAATCTTTTTTTTAAAAAAAATATTTATTATGTATACAATATTTTGTCTGTGTGTTTGTCTGCTTTCCAGAAGAGGGCACCAGACCTCATTACGGATGGTTGTGAGCCACCATGTGGTTGCTGGGAATTGAACTCAGGACCTTTGGAAGAGCAGGCAATGCTCTTAACCTCTGAGCCAACTCTCCAGCCCCCTCTGACTAATTTCTTATGAAATATTTTGAGGTTCTGTGTTTTTTTAGATGCTGTCCCTCTATAGCAGCTTTCTTTAGAACAGGCTGGCCTCAGACTCATAGTCTTCTTTCCTCAGCTTTCTAAATGCTGTGATAACATGTGTGAAGTATAACTTACAGCTTGGGAGCTTAGGGTTGTTTCAGAATTTAAAATCAGTGTCTCAGTTAAGGTTTTTATTGCTGTGAAGGCACACCATGACCACCGCAACTCATTAAAAAAACGTATTTAACTGGGGTGGCTTACATTTTCAGAGATTTAAGTATTATGGTGGGGAGCATGGCGGCATGCTGGCAGACATGGTGCTGACTACAGTCTTGATTAGAAGGCAACAGAAGACTACCTCACTGAATGAGGCTTGAGCAAAGGAGACCTCAAAGCCCACCCCTGCAGTGACACTTCCTCTAACAGGGCCACACCTAATCCAACAAAGCCACACCTACTAGTACCACTCCTTTCTGGGACAGTTTTCTTTAAAAACACCACAATCAATATACTGTTTTCTGGGGGTCCTAGAGTCTCCCTGTCCCTGTTTGTTTCTCTTCCATGTCTCAGTTCCCAAAGGTTTTGGAGAACATATTCACATGAACAGGTGGTGAAAACAAGAGAATGTTTGTTTTTTAAATTAACTGTTTTATGTTATACTAGAGTGAAGCCCAAGAAAAAAAGTACTACCTCTCCAGATCACTGGGCTCTACTTCTAGCTCCAGTAATAAATAATAAATAAATAAACCTATACTATCAGAATTCTGAAGACTAGGAGTCTGGTTTTCAGTTTTGGAGCCCTGAGAGAATCTGGCCTTCATCTGTTAATAGTGGTAGCCAGCAGTCCATACCTTGAATAGTATCCACATAATTTCAGCTGTCTGCCATGGCAGGCGGATTGCTATTTGTTTTTATGTGACCTCATCATACTTGAATATGATCCCATCCTGAGTCTGCATAGGGTTTTAGTTCATCTCACTGAGGTCATACTTGTATCTAGGCTAAGGCCAGGTAGGATTTGAATTAGATGGTCATATGTCTAACTCCATATTTTGTATTTCAGACTAATGAAGTTAATCAAGGTGATGCCTTAGAACATAATTTTAGTGCCATCTATGGTGCATTGACTTTACCAATAAACCATATTTTTTCAGCTCAGACATTTCCCATGGTAAGAATGTATATTGCTTCTGTAAGGGTTTTGTGCCTTTCTGGAAATACTACCTTTATATGTGATTAGCACTAACTCTAATTTTTCTTGAAATTAGAATTGTGGGGTGGAGGAATACTTGTGCGAAGGCAAAGACGGTGAAATAGGCTTTTTTGACTTTTGACCTATGGTAATTTCTGATACTGTTCACCTAGACTATAATAGGGAGTTATAACAGGTCCCTCTGACACCTTAAATGTCTCACTTCTTTTCACAGTCTCAAATGTATTAATCCTGTTATTTTTAATATGCTGGTGTCAGTTTACCTAACTTCTGTTTTGTTATTAGGCTACCATGAAGACTTTACTTAAAACATGGTCAGAATTATATAGAGCATTTGCACGCTGTGCTGCTTTGGTGGCAACAGCAGAAGAGAATTTGTGCTGTGAAGAGCTTTCTTCTAAAATACTCTGCAGTGTGGAAGACGAAGTCCTTTCAGTGAGTTTCCCCCTGTACTATATATGTTGTAAATTGGAGATAACATGAAAAAAAGTTTACTAAAGCACAGGTGCTAGAGGTCCAGTTGATGTAGAGAAACACAAGTCTTTACCTTGGGGTGCCTCCTTATTTTAACTACAGTGTCTGTGTACTCACCTCCGTACAGATTAGTTACAAACTTTTCTCTACATCAAAGTACGAGTCTTGATTAGGCCTGAGTTAAAATCCCTATATGAAAAGGAGAATGCAATCTGCTGAGTGTGTCTGCATGGAGCTCTGTGTGTGTCTCCCCTTCTTGCTATAGATAATGTGAAATCATCTTTCTTTGTAGAATTTACTGGGTGGAAGTAGTTGGCATGGAAAGGAAAGCATATTGAACAGCTTTTTTCCTTTTGAATGGATCAAAATTCCATAACCTGCAGCTTTCTTGGGGATGGGGGAGAAGCCCAGCTTTTGCCTGTTTCTGACATCAGAGAGAAAATTTATGGGCTTTGACCTTTAGAGAGGGATGTGACTGCTGAGTCAGACTTTCCTGCAGCACTTGGGTTGGCAACTTCACTGTGTTCTCTTTTGCCACTTGATTGATGCTTCAAGACTTTGGCATTCTGGTGAGCAGGCCCGAACCCCTATATGACTTCACCACTCATGCACTTTTGACCAGGCATGAAATTACCTCCTTGTAAAGTACATGTCAAATCCAACCAGAAAGCAGTTATTGAAATGGCAATACAATAACTGTTGCTTCTGTCCCATTGCTGGGATTAAAGGCAGACTCTACAGCGCAGCCAGCTGCCATTGGTCATTCTTTTCAAAGCTCAAGCTCTTCCTTTTGTTGATTCTTTGTGTTGATGTTTGTTCCCTGATTTTGATTATCCCTATTTACTGTTTTGGGGTTTGGATTGTTCCTGTTTTTCTTGGGTCTTTTGGAGCATCATTAAGTTATTAATATGATCTCACATTTTGATATTAGGCCTTTAATACTTTTCCTCATGACTGTCTTTTATGTCCCATAGATTTGGTGTGTTAAATTTTTCTTCATTTTTTTTTTATAGTTTTGCTACTGATACCTAGCTTTAGAATACAGGATATTTTAATTTTGTTATCTGTTGAGGCTTCCTTTGTGTTCTAATTGGTGGTCAGTTTTGGAGGAAGATCATGGACTCTGCCAAGAAGAGTTATTCTTCAGTGTTTTTGTCAATCTATAGTATTGAGTCCATTTGCTGTATGGAGTTGGATTGTTTAGTTTTTGTCTAGATGACCTGTCTTCTATTCAAGTCACCTATTATTATCTCAGTGTTGGGGTTATCTGTGGCTTTACATCTAAAAATTTTTATCAAATGGATATACCTGTGTATGTGCATATATTTAGGATTGTACTATCCTTCCTCTTGGTGACCTTAGCTCATTTGAGTTATTTTGGTTTGAGTCGTGTCAGATACTAGAATATACTTGTTTCTTAAATCTGTTTCGAATACCTCTTTACTTTTACCTTAAAGTGGTTTCTGTCTTTGGTGAAGTATGTTTCTTGGAGGCAGCAGAGATGGGTCCTATTTTTTAACACCATGTGCTCCTCAGTTTCTTAAATGCAGGTGAGTAGGTGTTTTTTGCCTCCATGTATGTCTGTACTATCTGCATGTACTGCCCATAGAGGAAGGAACTGGACCTGAAGTTAGATTGCTAACCTCCCTGTGGGTGCTTGCTCTAGAAGAGCTGTGCTGCAAATGTTCTTAGCCTCTGGGCCTCCTCTCCTGGCCTAGTCTTACCACTTTGTTGAAGAATTGAGGAAGTTGCTGTTCAGAGTTTTGAAAGATTTATGTTAATTTCTGCTCCTCTCCCCCACCTCCCTTTTATTTTGAGACAGGGTAGCTCTGAACTTGCTCCATAGACTAGGCTGGCCTTGAACTCAAAAGACCCGCCTGCCTCTGCCTCCTGAGTGTGCTGGCCTTTTATTTGTTTGTTTGGTAAGGCATTTTTCTTTCTTTCCTTTTTATTTTTTTAAAGATTTATTTATTAAGTATACAGTGGTGTGCCTGCATGCATGCTTGTGGGCCAGAAGAGGGCACCAGGTCTCATTTCAGGTGGTTATGAACCACCATGTGGTTGCTGGGAATTAAACTCAGGACCTTTGGAAGAGCAGGCAATGCTCTTAAACTCTGAGCCATCTCTCCAGCCCCAAACTTGGGTCCTTTAGAAGAACAGTCAGTACTTGTAACCACTGAGCCATCTCTCCAGCCCCGGAAAGGCATTTTCTGATTTTTTTTTTATCCAAGTATTGCTTTTTTGTTCCTTGAGACCTCTTGGTTGTATTCAAATTGAAGTATTTACCTTGTAGAACTCACTTGGTGGTCAGAAATTTCTTTAATCTGTGTTTATTATAAAAAGTTTTTATCTCTTTTATTTCAGGGAGGGGTGATAGCAGTTTCACTAAAGAAATTCTCCTACGGGCTGGAGAGATGGCTCAGAGGTTACGAGCACTAGCTATTCTTCCAGAGGTCATGAGTTCAATTCCCAGCAACCACATGGTACCTCCCAGGTACCTATAATGAGATCTCGTGCCCTCTCCTGGCATACAGGCATGCAGAACGTTGTATACATAATAAATAAATAAATCTTAAAAAAAAAAAAGGAAAAAGAAATCCTCCTGCTTCTCTCTACTCAGTGCTGGGATTAAAAGTGATGCTACCATGTCCAGCATTTTGATTTTTAGAGTTTTGCTGGGTAAAATAGTCTTTGTTGACTGGGAATGTGTCTTTCTAGGCACTTTTGGCTTTGGGCTTTTCTGTTACATAATTAGGTGTTAGTTTGACACTTGAATTGCCCCTTTAGTAGCTTTTCAATATGCTTTCTTTTATTCTGCCCTCTTCCCACGTCCCTTTCCCCCAGGATAGGGTTTCTTTGTATAGCTTTGGCTGTCCTGGAACCAGCTTTGTAGACGAGGCTGGCCTCAAACTCAGATCCATCCTCCTGTCTCCACCTCCCAAGGGCTGGGATTAAAGGTGTTATGCCACCAGCGCCCAGCTGAATTATTTAAACTGTTATGGGCAATTTTATTTTTTGGTTCTATTTGGAATTCTGTCGCTTTTGCCTGATGGGCATCTTTTTCTCTAGGTGTAGAAAATTTTACTTTAGCTGGGCGATGGTGGCGCACACCTTTAATCCCAGCACTCGGGAGGCAGAGGCCGGCGGATCTCTGTGAGTTCGAGACCAGCCTGGTCTACAGAGCTAGTTCCAGGACAGGCTCCAAAGCCACAGAGAAACCTTGTCTTGAAAAACCAAAAAAAAAAAAAAAAAAAATTCCTTTATAATTATTGAAAGTAATACTCTGACTTAGGTAAAGTAGTCTTTTTATGGCCATAACCCAAAAGCTAGGTCTTTCCATGGTGTCCCAAAGTATATTTGTGGATTTTGTAAATTTGTCGTTACCTTCACTGAGTGGTCCAAATTCTCCACCTTGTGTTTTCTTTATTAGTAAGTAGTCTGTTAGTAACGCTTTCCACTGAGATTTTTATTGGTTCACAGAACGTTTTCCAGCACCATTTCAGCTTGGCTTTTCTTCAGTAATTGACATCTTTATCTTTTCTTGTTGTTCTCTGTAACTTTGTGACCTGTCCTGGAATTCTTGTAGGCCAGGCTGGCCTTGAACTCCCAGAGATCTGCCTGCCTCTGCCTCCCAAGTGCTGGAATTAAAGATGTGAGCCACCACTGCAGCAGTAAATTATATCTTTTTTATTGAATTATTTTTTTATGTCTTATATTGGCAGCCTCATTTCATTGATCTTTGTTTTCATTCTCTTGGAATATAACCAGTTTTAAATTTTTTTGGAAGCCCTTCCAGATTCTTATTTGGATCCATTAAAATAAGGTTTTATTTTTAGAGAACAGATGCTGTCTTGGACTTTTGCCTTTTTGTTTCTGTGCTGGGACTTAGTATCTATAGTTACTTTGAATGGAAGTTTGGGTGTGGGGTTGAGGGTCTGAGGACTGGATAACTGTGGGCTGGAGGGTCAAGGACTAGAGATCACTCGTCTGTCTGTCCTATGGATTATTTCTCTCTCCACCTCATGAGTGCTGGTGTTACAGGTGTGACTTATCGTACCCGGTTTACTTGGTCAGGCTTCATACATGCTATTCAGGGACTCTACCATACCAATTGTCCTAATTAATCTTCCGTTGATTTTATTTTAGAAATTAATATTAGGGTGGGGACATGGGAATCTGTTGTAGAAGTCAAGGCCAACCCTTTCACAATAGGTTCTGGGGTCAGGTGTGTGTGGCAATTGCTTTTATTTCCTGAGCCATCTTAAACCCTTCTCCTTGGTGGGTTCACATGAGGACATAGTGTCGGATGGGGGTGTGGGGTGTAATACCTATGTGCATGTACACGTCAAAGGAGAGTTTTAGCTGTCTTGGTCTATAATTCCATTTTATTCTCTTAAGTCTCTTACTGAACCTGGAGTTTCCTGTTTGACTGTCAGCCAGCAAGCCCAAGCTATCTTCCGACTCTGTTCCTTACAGTGCTGGGTTACAGGTGTATGAATCCATCCCCAGTTGTGTGTGTGTGTTTTGAGACAAGGAAACACTGTAGCCCTGACTGGATTCCAATTTAATAGAATTTACATAGGTAAGACTTTATATTGCTGACATTCCAAGCCTTGGTTACTGTGCCTGACTCTTCTGTTTTGTTGGTAACCGTTTTATAACTTTGATTAGCATTTCTGATCTACACAGCACATGCATGCGTGTTAGTGTATCTGTTGAGTCAGAGGGCAACTGGGGAGTCAGTTCTCCTTCCACTATATGGTTCCTAGGATTATACTCAGACTGTTAGCTTTGGTGGTAAGCGCTTTTACCCACTGAGCCATCTCACTAGCCTTCTTAGATTTTTGCATTTTTGAGACAGGGTTTCTTTTTCTTTTTTTTTTTTTTTTAAAGATTTATTAATTCTGCCTCGGTGTATGCCCGCACGCAGGAAGAGGGCGCCAGATCTCATAACAGTTGGTTGTGAGCCACCATGTGGTTGCTGGGAATTGAACTCAGGACCTCTGGAAGAGCAGCCAGTGCTCTTAACCACTGAGCCATCTCTCCAGCTCTGAGACATGGTTTCTTTGTGTAGCTCCTGACCTGGAGCTGACCTGGAGCTTACTCTGTAGTCCAAGCTTGCCTTGAACTCAGGAGATCTACCTGGCTCTGTTCCCCTATGTTCTGGGTTTAAAGGTGTGGGCCTGTAGTGCCTGCTCTATGTAAGCTGGGAGCTAGGCTGGAGACACACAGACGTCCTTGAAACAAGAAAGCTACTTATGACAACTTTATTGTGCTCCAGGGATCTTTAACTGATAGCCTTGCCCACCTGCAAAACCGGAATTCACTCCCCTGCCATCAGGAACTCATTAGGGTCTCCTACTCAGAGCAGCTGCAGGCACAGGAAATAAGTTGTTTATTCTGTTCACTCCAGCAGACATAGGGTTTGAGGCAGGCAAAGAAAGTCACAAGGGGCCAGGGGTCTGCAGCCCCCAACATGGGCCAACATCACACCAGGCTGTTGTTAGATTTTTGAACATTTTGAATTAATGAGGGCATCGATTAAGGACAGTGCTTGTTTGGTGAATCCATATCCTTTTAGTTTTTGGACATTTGGATATGATGATGAATACTTTTGATTTTGTTTGACCTAGATTGCTTTGTTGAGCCTGGTATCAGTTCCCACTATGGAATCCTGTCTCTCATGGATATATTTGGATCTCTGAAAGTGCTTAAGAGAAACTCTCTGAATCCCGTGCATTCCATGGACGTCTTGTGAACGTCGATAGTTCATCCTGTTGGTGGAGAATACCTTTTTCTTCTCTGTACTCAAATTTTTTGTTGGAGGTGTACCTCGCCTGTAGATATTGTGGGAGGGGAAAGCTCTGTGTTTTCTACCAGTCTTTCTGCATCACATTTTTAGATTCTGTTATTTCTTTTGTTAAGGATGAGGAAGAAATGTAGAGGAGCTCATTTAGCGTTAGTTAGCGGCTTTCATTGTGTTTGTATTCATGGGGCTTAATATTATCAATTTTCAAGACTTGGAATTATGTAGGGGTGTGTGTGTGTGTATGTATGTATGTGTATGTGAGAGAGAGTGAGAGAGAACGTGTGTGAGTGCGGTTGCCCATGGAGAATGGAAGTGGCTGTTTGAAACCCTGGAACCTCCTCCTGTAGGTGTATTATTTTTCTGCACCTCCACAGCTGAATTGACACTCTAGTTTTGAGGGTGGGGTTTTAGGTGGAACTATGGCTAAGACCTTGCACAGATCCCAATCAGTCAATAAATAAATAAATAAATAAATAAATAAATAAAGATGGGATTTATTAGTGGATATGACTTATTTTTGGTACTATAAAGATCAATAATTTTCTCTGAGTGTTGAGAAGCACAGTGTTTGCCATAGAACACCTAACTGGGAAGTACTTAATGACCATGTATTTGTAGCATAATAAAATTTTTGTATGTGAATTGGCACTTGAATACTATTCCTGTAGTAAGGGTTTCTGATTGTGGTACTTACATTTTTTTCCTAGGATTTGTTATTCTTGGACAGGATCTCTCAAATTATTATTGTAATGGTTGATTGTATCGACTTTTCACCATATAATGTTAAAACCCAGCCCAAAATCAAATGTAAGTATTTCATAGCATTTCAGGGAAAATTTGTTTGGTTTTTCAAGGCTGGGTTTCTCTGTATTTCAGTTGTATGATTTAGTAATTGTAAAATAGTTGTGGAATTCTGAGGGATAGCAGAAACCGAAATGTATTTTATATTTTCTTTGAAATTCCTTTTTTGGGGGGATTATTTGAGATTTGCCAATTTTTTTTGATTTTTCGAGACAGGGTTTCTCTGTAGCTTTTGGTGCCTGTCCTGGAACTAGCTCTTGTACACCAGCCTGGCCTAGAACTCAAAGAGATCCACTTGCCTCTGCCTCCCAAGTGCTGGGATTAAAGGTGTATGCCACCACCACCTGACCTGGTTTTCATTTCTAATATTAGTCTAGTGATGTTTATTCGGTAATAGTTTATTATTTGAAGGCTTATCTGAGGATGTAGATACAAGAACATGTGTATTTGATGTAGTTAGTTAGCATTTGAATGCAAAATGTAAAAGTAAGTGATATATTGCAAACTCAATCCAATTTTGTCTTAGCACTACAGAGATCTTCAGAATGGTCCAGAAAGAAGAAGGAACCCCTTGGGAAATTGGCTTCTTTATTTAAGCTAATTGTGAGAGTGATCCATTCTCTCCACACTCTGAGCTTCAAGGAATCGTATTCTGATATGCTGGTTAATATTGTTAACTCTGTCATCAGCATGCTTTCTAATATATTTGGACATATTTCCTTGCCTTCTATGATCCAAGAAATATTTGCAACTTTCACAAGACCTCTGGCTTTACTGTATGAAAATTCAAAGTAAGTATTTTCATCTTATTCATGTTGAGTTAAGTATATGATTTTTTTAAAATTTTGGTGTGATTTTTGTGTACATGGTTTATGAATGTGTTATGCACATACATGTTTAGGTCACAGGCTGCCTTTTATTAACTACCTACCTTGCTTTTTGAGACAGGGCCTCTCACTAACTTTCAGCTCATTAATTCCAGCTGCAAACTCTAGGAAGCACCAAGATATTCTCTTTATTGCTAGGTTTGCAAGTCTGTGTCCTCATCTGGCTTTTTATTCAGGTTCTAGGGATCCAAATTCACTCAGGTCCTCATGTTTGTGTGACAATACTTAACCAACAGAGCCTATCTTCTCAGCCTAATATGTGTAATTTAAGTATAATGAGTAATTTTTTGCTTTTGCATCGGCTTTTTTGTCCTGGATGAAATTCTTAGAATATATCTGTATGTATTCTAAAATGTAAAAATTTCAGATAGAAGGACTTAGAACTATTTCATTTGACTTTTTTCTCTCCCTGCAATTTTCAATTTTACATGTGATTTTTTTTTTCATATTTACACAAACATGCTTATTATAAATACATAATACAGATGTATTTTACTTGATACTATGCAATTGAATAATACACTGTATGTAGTTACATACATGAAAACCTCATTCTTTTAATCCCAGTTTCTGATCGGTGGACTCCATTGGTTCTGTATCCAGCCTTGTCTGTCATAGCATTTAAGCATTATTTGCCCATATATCATTGTTTGTATTGACCATGACGTCTGTTAAGCCAAGGTTCTTTGTTTTTGAGACAAGATCTGTTTACTATCCTGGAATTCAATTTGTAGACCAGGCTGGGCTCAAAATCAAGAGATCTCAGCAGCCTATGCCTCTCAAATGCTTGGATCAAAAGTGTGCATCATCACCTGGCCACATTTTTTTAAAAATAATTATTATGATTTAAATGATTTAGAACATTTTATTTTAGAATATAAGGGGAAGCCAGAGCAGTGGCTGAGGCAGTTAAGAGTGTTGAAGATTGGAGTGTAGCTTTCAGCATCCACATTGGGTAGGCTTAAACTGCTGGTAATCCTAATTTCTACTGTTGCTTCTTTTGACCTCTGCCTCTTCCCTGACCTCCATAGGCACCTGCCCACACTTAAATGTGTATGTGGTTCTGTTGAACTAGCTTAGTACAGCACTAGCCTAGTGTGCACAGACCTAACTGTGCACAAATGACAGCACTTGGACAAGTAGTTAGTCACAGGCACTTGAAGTCTGTTCTAGGTGTTTTTAAAGATTTGTTTTCTAAGTGTTATGTTTACTTCATTTTTGATATTTGATTCTTGGGATATTTTACATTACTATGTGACTGTTTTTCCTTATTTTTTTGTGGCTCTGTGTCTTCTCTGTGAGACTTAGCTTGATAACTAGTGCAGTGATGGCATCTTGAACTATTAACGATTTTATCTGTCTTCTCAGGCTTGATGAAGTTCCTAAAGTGTATAGTAGTCTGAACAACAAGGTAAGTAGATCGTGTCCATAAAATACACTTTATCCTAAGGATAACATACAGTTTCTTTCTTAAACATAATTGATGTTAAATGCATGTCGTGGTGTGAGTGGAAGTCAGAGGACATGTGCAGGAGTTGGTTCTCTCCTACCGTGTAGAATCCAGGACTGAAATTAAGCCTATGAGCTTTAATGTCAAGTGCCTTCACTCCTTGTCTTACTGCATTTATTGGCATGCGTGTATAATTATGGATAAATGTATGCTATCTTAGAGGTCAGAAGAGGTGTCATCTCTCTGGAGTTGACACTGTGGGTGCTGTTAACCACTGAATTCCCAGCCCCATTGCTCCATTTTTTTATGTGGGGTCGTTTTGAGACAGGATTTCTCTGTGTACTAGCCCTGGCTGTCCTCAAACTTGCTCTGTAGACCAGGCTGTCCTGAAAGAGATCCACCTGCCTCTGCCTCCCAAGTGCTGGGATTAAAAGTTGCTCCACCACTGCCCTTTCCATTGCTTTATTTTTTAATGGTCATAAAATAATAGGGTATGGATACATTCTTTAGTAGTTGGGTTTTTTCTTTAGAATTTACTATTTCGAACTTAAGTAATCCTCAGGTATTAACTCTTATGTAAGGGTTGGCTATAATATTTTATAATTTGCATAGGCAGTTATTAATTGCTATTGCAATTAATAAGAAAACATTTTTTATGTTAAGAAATTTAAAGTAAATTTACCTGATTGTTTTTAAATAGGAGTATATATGTATGGTACCCACGGTGTTGCTTAAAGATGGTTGCTATTTTTTTATTTTTATTTTTTGGTTTTTCGAGACAGGGTTTCTCTGGCTTTGGAGCCTGTCCTGGCACTAGCTCTGTAGACCAGGCTGGTCTCGAACTCACAGAGATCTGCCTGCCTCTGCCTCCCGAGTGCTGGGATTAAAGGCGTGCGCCACCATCGCCCTGCAATGGTTGCTATTTTTAAAATTGAAATAGTAATATGTCTTGGAAAATTGTGTTTAATATACATTTTGCTTCTCCCTCTCTTTCCTAGTTAGAAAAGCTATTAGGAGAAATTGTTGCTTGTCTACAGCACAACTATCCTGGGGCCTATGACAGTGAATTTCTTGGACAACTTTCTCCACTTCTGTGCATAATATTTCTTCACAAGAACAAACAGATTCGAAAGCAGAGTGCTCTGTTGTGGAACGCTACATTTGCTAAAGCAACAACTCTGGTTTATCCTGAGGAATTAAAGTATGTTATCATTGTAACTTCCTATACCTGCTTAATTCATTATGATTATGTAAACCTGTCTTTGGGTACTAGTACAACCTGTGCAGTTTGTGTCCCCAGACTATGTAGTAACCATTAAACTTGGGCTGACTTCTATTAGACTTAACATTTTGTGAAACCAGTATAGGCAACAGAAAAATCTTTAAATAAACAAGGGCAGAGAGTTGTCGATTGTTAAAGCCAGGCATGGGGAGTAGTAATACTATAGTAAAACTTTTTTTTTTTTTTTTTTGGTTTTTCGAGACAGGGTTTCTCTGTAGCTTTGGTGCCCGTCCCGGAACTAGCTCTTATAGACCAGGCTGGCCTCGAACTCCCAGAGATCCGCCTGCCTCTGCCT